GTAAAGTTGAACACTCGTATGGTAGAATGTTTACCATGTAATCCAGGAGCTTTTGTGATGTAAGATCGTGCTAGTTCTCCATCTTCTGCATATGGGAACATTTTCATAATAGAACTTTATAGGTAAAAGTCATTTTCTTTAACCTGGATACTCATCAATAATGTATTGAACTGAGCCTTTATAGGTAGGTAGAGAGTTGAGGTGAGATGAGTATTTTGGAAAGCCGAGGGTTACGAGTTGAGAGGGCTTTCTGACTGAACAAGCACAGTGTTTACTAGTTGTTCTTCTGGGGACATAGATCAAAAGACATCATGAGGCTGTGACAGTAACAGGGGATATCCCCAAAAGATGCCTGCTGTAATAGGGATGGTTCTCTGAAGGAATGGATTAATACAGTGTGTGTGTGTGTGTGTGTGTGTTTCTTTCACTGCCTTAGGTTGATTATAGAACCCTTCCTTGACCCAGCATTGCACTTGAAAATCCTTCAGGTGACACAGAGAATTTAATTGCTCTTTTGGAGGTAGGCTCCTTGGATAAAGTCTTCCCCTCCAACCACATTTATCCATTTGTGAAGAACTCTGAGGAGACCAGAGGGTCAAGGAACATGACTGGTTAAATCTCAGACTTAGAAACACAAGTTGTACATCATGGCTGAGCCCAGTAGAGAAGTAAAGGTGTTGTCTTCTTCTTAAAATCTTCAGTTGTCTGCATATGAACATCTTATTTGTAGAATTCTCTATTTCAGAGTGGTTAGAATATCATAGGTGAACCAGGATGGTTTTGTTTATGACCAAAGCAAGACTAAAGCGGTCAGTGAAAATGTGTATTTGAACAACCTTACCTCTCCTCAGATGTGAGCATCCTCTCAGTCACCAAGATAAAAGACCGTCTTTTGTTCTCCTCTCTGAATACTGGCCTCAGAGACTGATTTCTGGCTTTTCGAAACTAACCGTTTTTATGATTTTTCTGTTCGTGAGTTCAATCAGATCTGTTATGCCCTGTGACAAGCCACATGACACCAAATGAACACCCTTCTCAATCTCATTTTCTCACTGGAACTTCTAATCCGTTGAACAAAGATTAGGAGATCCCGTTCCTTCCTACAGTTTCAAAAGCATTTAAATAACAAGGTTAAATGTCACCAAGGAAGAGTTCATCCATCCTTCAAAGTCACCGAGTCAAAAAAATAGTTCTTGCTTACATTTTCATTGTTTTTATAACTGAAAGACCCTTGATGGTATAAATTAGATATCAATTTTGTTTCTACTACTGAGTTACTTATTAGATATGTATTGAATGTTTGACATTTTCAAGTTTTTCACCTTTTGAACCAGAGGGGCTCTTGCAAATTCCTTTGAGTGTCCTCACATTATGGTCAGGGAATATATTACTCCAAAAAAAAAAAAAAAAAAAGATACAAGAGATGGAAGAGGAGCGAAGAGAGAAAAGAGAGGAGAAAGGAAAAAAGACAGAGGAGAAAGGAGGGGGCACTTGACCCTAGTCCTTAGCAGAAGCTGGCTTGGGTTGCACACTCACACCTGAGAAAACAGTGCTACAGAAAGTTCTCCTGTCCCAAGAGGTTAACAGTGCCAGCTCAGAAAATATTTTGAGATTTCATTTCCCTAAAAAGTACAAATTGTTGCATCGGTAGCATAATTCATTTAAATAATTTGGAACAAAAAAAGTGCTGCTACTAACTGAAATCCAGCAGGAAGAGGAAGCCATTTAATGAGCAGGCCACTGCAGGCTCCAAGGACACACTGAAGAATGGGAATCCATAGCTGTGGAAGATGGGGAATCTAACTCAGTCTGGGGTATTGGTTTGGAGAGCCATCTGTGAGGTCTTCAATATCAAAAACACACGTGTGAGCTGTGCTGGTCAAAGAAAGTGCGCTAGGACTTGAGGTGTACTTGGTTTGCATGTATTTGATACATTTAATTTTTTCACGTGAATAATATGAAATTTTCTTGTTGCTATATATTGTGAACTTTCGCTTTTTGGTGAATGTCTAAAAAAACATAGGCATGCTATAGTCAAAATAATTAAATCCTTATTTGTTATGACTTTATCAATAATTTTCTATTATATACACTTTCTGTTGAAATATAAGACAAAACATTTGCTATTATGTCACCGAAAGATGTATCTGTGAAGAAAATGTGACAATTTGATTTTTGACCTTTAACTATCTCCATAACAAGTGAAACAAAACCAGAGGAGAACATGAGGAAAGAGGTATTTCACCAGCTGCTCTGGTAGGCCTGCCTTTGGAGTGTCTGGGAAGCCTGCAAATAAATGCATTGACATCCCTCTCTGCAAAAGGCTGTGCCTCGTTACATTGTTCCTTACTAGATACCTAAGTGAGGCATAATGACTTCCTTCTACCAACTAGAAAGTAGTATTCCTCCTCTTAAAAACAGTACAGTCAGCTGCTGCTTCTCTCTGGGATGTGAAGATTCTCAAGGCCAATGTGAAGGAAACCTTGGGCTCTTGTTAGTTTTAGCTGTTCGACGGGGAGTGGATCGCCCTGATAAGTTTTCTAATCCTTGCTTGCAGCTGGGCTCCTGTCTTGATGGCAGCCTCCTAAGGAGCGACAAGTCAGAAGACCTCACACTGATTCTGAATTAACAGTCACTGAAGCTATGAAGCATGGTGATCTTTGATAACTTGAGACTTCTAAGTCTGCAGAGGTAATCTACCAAACCAACAGGAAACAAGACGGGGTGTAGCCAACTGATGCTCAGAGCCCCTTGGCTTCTTTTGGCTTCTTCAGTCACCTTTACTCTTCCTTTTGTTTCTAGAAGCCAATACCCTACCTTGTCAACTTCATTTTGTGATTCGGTTTCAAGTTCTTATTATTTAAGAAGTAATTTCAAAACTGTAGAAATAGTTTTCAACTTCAACCATAATGGGGAAATTAATGCAGCTTGTTTTATTGGTCTGTGGCTTTTAAATGAAGACTATTGGCATAATGTGGGTTTTCGTTTTTAAATTGGAGTTTTTTGAGCTTTCATATTACATGTCTAGCAGATAAGAATGTGCTTCATGTCCTGGCTTTGGGGAAGCAAGGCATGTTTTACCACCAACACATATGTTTCGATAAATATTCTAAAGTTGTACATCATTTTTGACACAAAATTTACAAAGAATTATGTGATCATCAGCTATAAAGAATACAAGTGCAAGATTATAAAATAAAAACTCAGTGTTGGGTAATTAAGAAGTATATTCACTGTAGACTTAATTGTGGCGTAGTGTCCTTGATTTATCTCACACAAATGAACACTTGGGGTTTAGAGCTTGTTTACTCCGAATTTCAGCAGGTTATCCTCGTGGCTGTGTGTAACTGTACTTTTTTTCAACTATAATTCAAGGGCAAAGGACACCAATGCAAAAAGAAAGTGCATGCTTCTAAGGCTAAATCAAATGATTTGCTTGTGTATAAAAAAGAGCCATGTAAGAAAATGGTGCAAGTAGACATACCTGATACAAGAGAACTGTGCTTAGCGTGTTGGTATTTTAAATAGTGAATTTTAATGAATCAGGGTCTGGGTAAATGGCCCAGTTGGTAAAGGGGTTCCCAGGACCCATATAAAGGCAGGGAGTGGTGGAAATAGGAGTATCCCTGGGGCTCACTGGAGAGCTTGTCTTGCTGAATAAGTGAGCGTTGGGTCAGGGAGAAACTCTGTCTCAAAAAATAAGTTAAAGAAATATTGAAGATCATACCAGACATCTACTTTAGCCTTGATACTTGCTCACACTATGTACACATATGTGCACACACAAACATGTACCACACACAATACATCATTAATATGATGAGTGCTCAATTTAAAAGGAAATTTGCAGATAATTTTTACTTTAATTTTTAAATTGATTCTATTTAGTATACAAAGAGTTTTACTGTGACATTTTTATACATACATACATACCACTGTGCTTTGTTAAATAACACTATGGTGCTGGAAACTGAAACAAAGGCCTTGAAATTCTAACTATAGTTTTAAATTAGTGTATGTACAAGCAATTAGAAGAAATATGTGAAGAGCTTTTCAAATATGAAATAGCAAACATCATCATTCTGATTCTGACATTTATCCCAAGAAACCTGCTTAACGGAATCCAAGCATCAATTGAAATTTCACATACCAAAGGAAAATGTTCCACATCAGTGATGCTCTAAGCTCCTCTGAATATTCAGGGGAAGTCCTTCCCACCCCAGGATGGAAAGAATATATACGTATGTATCATATATGTATATAAGGGGAAAGATACACACAAGCCCACAGATACATATGTGCCAAATATACAGAGATTTAAGATCTCTATAAGTATACCCCTTGTATTTTCCTACTGTGGACATGGCTTGTGGAATTTATCTGCAGGAGTCAAAGCACGGTACTCAGAAGGGTGTGAGGTCTTGCCATGCTGAATGCTTCCTTATGAAGGAGACTGGATGACCTTAAAGGTGCTGCCTTCCCTTTCTTTGTTCTTTCGTCCCATTACCACTGAGTCGTTTGCAGAAATGAAAATTTCTGTTTCCCAAAACAAGTCTTTTTTTTTAGCAAATATTTAAATCATTTATTGCCATTAAGTTACAGATCTGAACCTGCACACTATGGAAAACACTTGTCACCAACTGGAAAGCATGGGTAGATGTGTGGCGGACTGAGGGATACACTGTAGTCATTAAAGAAAAGTCAAGAATGTAAGGGCTTATAGTTATAAAACTTTGTTCCTTAGATTTTTATTACACAAATCCCAATAGATAATATACACATTACTACAGATATAACCATCATTCAAAATTATTAAATTAGTTGCATATTTTGTACTACTCTTGATGAAGACAAATTTTAGCATTGATAAGGCAGGAGAGAGCTGGTTGAGGGACTCTCGGCTTTTCTATAATGTTGGCATGGTAATTAAAGATAGCATTCCGTGTTTTCTCCTCAGCAAAACCATCGATGCCAATGCGACCTGTGGCGTGGCAGCAGTGGCTGGAGCTCTGTCCCCTTCCAGAGCCGATCCTTGCACGGCTACGCAGTTGCCTTTTTACTCATCTCGTAGTTGATGAGCCGTGCTCCCTGAATCAGCTGGGCCACCTCGTTTGTTACATGGCACGCAAACAGAAGCCAGTTTCGAGGCTGCACCTTGTAGGCAAATCTCATGAATGTCAAAGAATAGCAACAGAGGGCAAAGGTCATCCGCCCACTGGTGATCTCCGGAGACTTCTTCATGTCATTGATAGCAGCAATGGGGAGACCCCAATTGGCAACTGGGCCCCAGAAGTGCGTACTCATGAGATAGTCCCGGAAGTCCTTGCTCCGCACATAGTCGGCCGCTTTGCGCGCCAGCGTCCCAGCGATGGCCCTGGGTAGGCAGTGAAGCCGCTATCCACACGGATGACACTGGCGTCGACACGGCGCGGCCCTCCCCCAAAACAAGTCCTAAGACTCAGGAAGAGACATGTCCTTTCTGTCCCCTGGAAGTCCTTGCGTGATGAGTGTCCTGCCTTAGACCCCGAGGAGGTTACAAGAACAGCATCGGTGTGAGCAGGCCTTATGCAGCCCCCTCTACTAGGCTACACCTTGTAAGCCGTGCCTTGCCGTAGTCCATTTCTCAGCAGACTGAGAATAAAAACCCTAGTTATTCAGATGTGGAGGAAGGCTCCCATATCACATAAACTTTTTCTTACATAAATCGTTACGGTTTTCTTTTGATATCCTGTCTCTTGTTGGTGTGTTGCCCATGACCACTGAGGTAGGTGAGGAAGAGAAATTACACTTTTTCTCTCTTACTCTTTAAATGTAGATAAAAGTAAAACGGGAAAGAGATACTTTGGACATACTTCTTGCTAATATTTATTTTAGTGATTGTTCTAGTATAATATGTACTCTTTTGAGAGCATGGGTAGCTAACACTGTCCCCCTTCGAGTACAACTGAAACATCACTGGGAACAGGATGACTCCATTAAGCCATGTATTCGCAGAGAGTGCACCTCTCCATGTGTGTACCTGCTCATGTTGACTAGCCTATGATCAGGTGTGGTGGTTCTCAAGCTGGGAGTCACGTATCAGATATCCTTCATATCAGATGCTTATATTACATTCATATCAGTAGCAAAATTACAGTTATGAAGCAGCGATGGAATAATTTTATGGTTGGGGGTTAACTGTAGCACTAGGAGCTGTATTAAATAAAGGGTCGCAGCACTAAGAAACTTGAGAACTTCCAGTCGAGCATGTCCTCCAGTGCTTTGATGCAGACCGCCTCAAGTGGGGATGGGGGTGGGGAGTCAAATAATCACAAGCTAACTCCAAATAGAAAGTTCTAAGGTTTTTCTTTATCAAAAGGGAACTCACAGATGACAAGGAAGGCACTGACCTATGAGTATAGCAGAATTGTCATCAGAAGTCTCTTTATTGTTGCAGTTTTTAAAGAATAGTAATATTTGGTTTTACTCTAGGTCTCTGCACTATCCAGTCTTAGGTTCTTGGTCACCCAATGATGGAGGAAGGACATTGGTTAATTATAATAAAGAAACTGCCTTGGCCCATTTTATTGGTTAGAACATAGGTGGGTGGAATAAACAGAAGAGAATGCTGGGAGAAAGAAGCTGAGTCAGGAGTTGCCATGATTCTCCCATGCCATACAGACGCAGGTTAAGATCCTCCCTGGTAAGCCACCTCGTGGGCTACACAGAATATTAGAAATGGGTTAGATTAATATGTAAGAGCTAGCCAATAAGCCTCGCCACTCCTAATTCAACAACCCAAGCAGTTTCAGGTATGGGTTCCATCTTGTAGAACAGGTCTTGGGTCAAATTGGATACTGGTTGGTGACTTCCACATGCTCTGTGCCACCACTGCACTAGCTTATCTTGCAGGCAGGATACCACTGTAGATCAAAGAGTTTGTGGCTGGCTTAGTATTTTTGTTTCTCTTTTGGTATCATGTAGAATACCTTCCTGTACCAAAAATGCTAGCAGGCAGGGGTGAAGGCTTTCTGTATATAAGCACCAGCCAAACGTCTCCATATTCAATGAGTTGTATAGGCGTGATCTTCAGCAGTGTGGCCTTGCTGTCAGTTGTTAGAGAGCAAATTCCAGTCTAGGCAACCACCTAGGTTGTTTGTGGGTTCTCATGGGACCCCTGTTGGCCAACAACTTGATTAGATGTAGCCCAATCCTGGTACTGGAAGCTTCATTTGGTGATAAGGAATGTCCAGTGGGAACTCTCTGGCTTCCATTATTTGATGATTTCATTTAGATTGTCTTTATACGTGTATGTATTTTGCAAAGCTTCTACTGTATTAGGTTTCCTTCACACCATCCCTCAATGACCCTTAATTTGAGCTGTTTCTTACCATATTTCCTCTTTCATCCCCTCTTTTCCTGCCCTTCCCCACTTTATCTTCCCCCCTGTGCCTCCCCATCCATGAATAACTGCCTATTTTATTTCCATTTCCTAGGGGAAATCTATCTGTCTGTTCCAATCCCTTACTCTATTCCTAACCCTTGCAGTTCTATGGATTGTAGCTTGACTATCACTGGTTTAACAACTCATATTCACATATGAAGAAACACAATCCATGTCATTCTGGGTCTGGGATCCCTCACTCAGGATGATTCATTTTTAATTCCATCCATTTACTTGTGAATTTTATGGTTTATTTTTCTTAATTGTGTAGTAAAACTCCACTCTGTAAATGTGCCACATTTTCTTTATCTGTTCTTCTCTTAAGCGACAGTTAGGTTGTATCTAATTCTGGCTATTGTGACTAGAGCAGCAAGGAACATGGTCAAGCAAATGTCTCTGCGGCAGGATGAAATGTCTTTTGGGTATATGTCCAAGAATGGTATAGCTCAATGTTGGGGTAGATGGATTCTTTTATCTTCCTGAGGAAATGTCACACTGATTCTTATAGCAGCTGTATAAGTTTATACGTTAAAACAAATCCTTCCCCTAAAAATTACATGAGATCATGGTATCTATTACAGCAACAGAGAAGCAAAGCAGAACTTCTGACTAGGTAATGATGTCACCAACAGTAGGCTTGTCTTCTTACCTCGATTAATATAATCAAGAAAATCCCCCCCCAACATACTCAGAGGCCCATCTTGTTGGGGATTCTGTATTCTGTCATATTCACAATGAGCATTAATTGTCATATAATCTTTGTCTGCTATTGTCAGCAACTGTTTCTCTGATTTGTATGGACTTGTAGGTGTTTTTATGTGGTAGACATCTGTTTTATTTTTAATTAATTAATTAATTTTCTGAGACCAATCACATTTTCTTCTCCTTCCCTCCTCTCCTCCAAGTCCCTTCCCTAAACCTCCCACCCATCCACTCCTCTCTTCTTTTCAGAAAAGGGCAGACCTCTCATGGATATCAGCCAGTCATGGCTTATCAAGTTGCAGTAAGCCCAGTCATTTCCTCTCCTATTAAGGCTGGACGAGGCAACCCAGTAGGAGGAAAGGGTCCTCAAAGCAGGCAACAGTTTCAGAGACAGCCCTCTCTCCCACTGTTAGGGGTCCCACAAGAAGACCAACCTACACGAATGTAACATATGTGCAGAGGACTGAGGTCAGCCCCATGCAAGCTCTCTGGTTGACTGCTCAGTCTCTCTGAGCCCCAGGAGACCAGGCTAGTTGATTTCGTGGGGTTTCCTCTGGTTCTAGACGGGTTTTTATCTCCAGTATGTCTTACTGCTTTCTACCTTTTTAATACTGTATTATATGATCATATAATGGATACCATGAAGCTGTATAAAATTTAAATTAGGTTGCTTTTCTTAAACAGTGTTGGCTTCTTATAACCAACAGCTAAATCAGTGGTGGATATGCTTGCTATTGTAGGAGAAATTTATTACTTATTAGAACTTTATTGATACTTTATTTTTAATTTTACTCTCATCCTGGGTCATGTCTGCACTCTAGAGCACATAGCTTAGTCAAGATACGTTTTCTCTGGATTAAAGGAATGACCTCAAGTGAGGTCTCTTATCTTATCTAGGCAGTTGCCTCACTGAGTTGCCTCATTCCACGTGGACGCCCTCTGCTTTTAGCTTTGTATACTATATCACTCTGTTGCTATGCAGTCTGGTCATTATGGTTTAATAGCTCACAATCTGTCCCTAGATACCCCAGAGCTGGTGGTGGTGGTTAGCATTGCTGTCACTTCCCATGTATGTACCCCACAATCTCAGATATTTCAGCAACGTGATTACCAACTTCTTTCCCTTTAGACAGGTGAGCCAACCAATTCTGTTAGCTCTATTTCCTTACACCAGAAAAGTTGCATTGTTACTATATACATATGGAATTAGATTTTAAAATGTCATCTCTCTTTTTTTTAGGTAACAAGAGAAATTCAATTATTGTTCTCTCTCATTAAATAGTTTCTATTTAGCATTTTGCAGTTATGCATAATTCAGATATAGTTGTTTATTTCTTAAAGAGAGCCAAAACAATGCCTACCAAGAACTTTGCCTTCATTGGAGTAAAACTCAGTAAACGACATTGCCATTAATACTTTTGAATTTATAGAGCAGCAATTTACTCCAAACTTAGACCTCTGCTAAAAAGAAAGAATGAAATATCTTTGATATTTTAATAAAAATTTAAGCGAGAATATTACTTAACTTAAAAGTTTTACAATATTTATGTTTTACAGATTGTATCTAAGAGCTTTGTACAATCCATCTTCCAGATGTAGACACATTAATGAATATAAGTGAATTAATTTTCCTCTAGCATTTAAAATTTATGATTGGTTGGGTTTGGCAGTGAGAAGTTAAAGGGGATTTGAGATCAAGTGGAGTGAGTTTTAAGTGTATTGGGAAGGGTGAGTTATATTCATTTTAATATCACCAAGTTCTTTTAAAGGCTCCCGTTTGTCACCGTTAAAGCTTTTAAATCAGGATCTCCCTTGATCAATGCGCCACTGAAACACAGGAAGACAAGGACAAACATTTAACAAACAAGGAAACAGAGGAGGTCAACAATTTCTGAAAAGTGAAGTATTTTAAACACTCATCAATAATTAAGAAAATGCAAAACACAGCCACAGTGAAGTGTCACCACTTGCTGCCATGGGACTTTGCCTAGGGAGTTGGAAACAAACATCTACTCACCTTAGATACGGCATCAGAGACAGAGCAGAGAAATGCTACTGTCCACCTCCAGCTTGGTGAACCGAGAGTCTGTTGGTTACTTAGTGTGGAATGCGCAAGTGGCTACTTACAGGGGAGTAAGTTGTAAGAAATAAAACATTAGGGTTTAAATAAAACATTAGTGTTTGGAGCTCTTCAGAGAACCTGGAGGCACAAGACTCCCCATCTTCCCTAACTACCCCTGGCCCCTGCTTGTTTGCGTAGGTTCATCTGCCATTGGAAAAAGTTG